GAAAGAGAAGGAGAGAGAGACAAAGCGAGAGAGAGAGAGAGAGAGAAAAAGAAAGAGACAAGAGAGAGAGAGAGAGAGAGAGAGAGAGAGAAAGGAAGATATTCAAAAATCCCAAATACAAATGGAACTTCCCCCAAAGCGCCCCTCACAGGCAGTTCCGCTACAGCTGTGTTGTTTTTCGGGTTCCATGTCGACTTTCAAGGAGTTTGTTCAACGGCGAAGGTGTGAAGTTGTTGGGGTCAGCAGAATTGGATTCTTGTCCAGAGGTGGGAGGATGGCGGGGAGGGCAAGCTGCACTGGGTGGTCCTGACCGGGTTCGTGAATGGGGATCGCAACTGGTACTGGCTCCTTGGCAGAAGTTTCCAGCCATACTGGTGGAGCTTTTGTTCAGTACCTTTTGGAAAATGGAGCGAACAGAGATTCATGACATATCACACTAGAAGCTTGATTATTAGCAACGGACCAAGCGAGCTACGAAGGTTCGTGTCGAACGGATCCATCCCTGGCTTCATGCATGCCGACACTGCCAAGCATTTGGTGAACGCGGCTATTGGGAATCCTTTCAAGAAGGGCGCCTATATTGCGCATCGAGTGTTCCTGATTGATTGGTAGCACCACCAAGCGAGCTGCGAAGGTTCGTGTCGAACGGATCCATCTCTGGCTTCATGCCTGCCGACACTGCCAAGCATTTGGTGAACGCGGCCATTGGGAATCCTTTCAAGAAGGGCCTATGTTGCGCATGGAGTGTTCCTGATTGATTGGTAGCAATAGGACGTGGGGTATCTCAACACGGGTAGCTTTTTTGTTGTTGTAATATCTAGATCAGCCCCGAAAGGGTACCAGTAAGAAAAGAACCACCCCCACATCCATTTGGGCCACTCACAGCGCTGTACAGATGTTTTGCCCTGTCTCCATTGAGGCATCGGGTCTAGCGCTTGGTGGCTTCCTGCAACCGGCTTGTTAGGGCATGCACAGGCCCGGAGTCGCTAAAAAGGCCTTCACGCCGGAAAAAGGCCTTCTGCGGGTGTCCCTTGAAAACCAGGCTGAATCCGCTCAAAGAGACACCCGGAGGCGTTTTGGAGGTCCGGAGATCCGGGGTCACGCCTGTCCAGGTCTCAGGTTGGCACTTGGGTCGAGCTCATTGCCTCCCTCCATGTGAATTGGGAGTCTGTGGGCTCCGAGTCGGGTGGCCACAAACCGCTTTCGGCCTTCCAAGTCGGGATATCACCGTTGCGAATCAACCATCCCAGAGTTTGAGCAGTGACGTTCAGGAATCAAACTGGATGTTTCCTCGACATCATTGAATCATACAGGGGACCCCTTTTGATGCGCAGTGGGAAGCCAAGAGGCAGCCAACAAAAATGGGTTTGTCTTTCCATTTCGTTGTACGAGTTCCCAAGCCGCACCTGCGTGAGAGCCCCATGGCGGACACTCCGGTGGCTCGCTCGCAAAAAGTCGGGGACGTTGCTAGGGGGCACCGGGAGGCTGAATCCCAACCAAAGCAGGGTCATGCTGAGCCTTCAATCTTGCTTGACAACCGCCGCAGAATGGATTTGTTTGCTGTTCGACGATCGGTACGACGCCATTTGTCCAAGGTCGGTGCTGAGCCTCCTTTCTCTCCGGATTTGAATGTTTTGGACGACCCGGTTAGCATTCTCTTCTGCTTGAAAATGCCGAATTTCAGAATTGGGCGATGCCACACCCTGGCAAACAGGTGGGGTTCGAGTCCAACCCGCTGGGATTCCCAGAGACATGGAATCAGTTCCCTCCAAACGGTTCTCAGCGGGGATGTTTCGAGGCATGCAGTGGAGAGACTTATCTTTTTTGGGGGGTTTGTTGCAAGTTTAGCATTTGGATGCTCGAGTAAGAGCTTTGATCTTAAGGCGCGTCGGATGTGGAGCTTGGCCACCTTTCAGCCCATTTGCTTGTTCAGACTTGCGCTTCGCTGACACGCACAGCACGCGCGGACTGCTTCAGGCCATCGCATCACCTGATTCTGTTTTGCCATTGAACGCTTCTCGTGCGTGGCCATGTTCATGAGGCCCAAATGACCAAAGCAGAGGGGTGGAAAGCTCTCAGGTGTTTTGGACGCTGCCTCCGGCAGCTCGCGGCTCAGCGGTGGACATGGGATAATATTTGCCTTTCCTTTCCATCTCTTGGCAAATATTCCCAATCCAATAATAAATGCATTTGGATATCTTTCTCTTTATCATGTTATCTTTATCTTCATCCCTTTTATCTTTGCATTTGTGGATGAAGATAAATGACATGATAAAATCCTTGACAGTGAGTGGGATAGCCTGTCTCTGAGACCGTCTGGAATCAAAACCCTGAGCACCTTTCCCTTTCTCTATTCCTCATCCAAATCCAGGATGCGGGATGAGATGAAGAGATGGGAAAGAGAGAGTCCATGAGATAGCGGCCAGACCAGTCCCATCCAAGCATTTTCCTTTCGTACACCATCAATCTCAGAGATGAACCGCTATTACAGAAAGTACATGGTATGATTTTTTGCCCTGCCGTTTCATTGATGTTGACCTTTTCTTGTTCCTCCGTGAGGCCTTTCATCAATGGCGCATGCATGCGCGCATGTGGACGTCGCAGCATCCCATCAGATCAGGATTATTCTTTGATGGCCTACTCGCAGCATGGCAACAATTGTGCTGACATTGCTGCAAAACATGAGGTGGCCCATGTTACGCCCCAGCCCAGGGTATGATCTGAGAATTCTGTGTTCAGGAATTGAACTGCTTTAGCAGCCATAGCATCACGATTCACTGCGGGACTCGGCTGGCCTGGCCACTCGTTTGTGTATGAAGATTGGACGTCTGGGTCTTCTTGTTAGACCACTGGGCTCTGGCTTTCGCAGTTCATCCAAACCACGCGCGCCAGGGTCAAGCGCTCATGGTGCTGGGAGTTTTGTGGCTTCTCTCCAGCAGGTGCGCCCGAAGCTTCTCGAGTTCTCATGCGTTGGGAAACTGAAGAGGAACCCGCCTCGAAACCCTAACTCCTGTGGTGGCACTGATGCGTTGCACAATTTGTTGAGTCGCTGGACGTTTCTTTGCGTTTTGTACATACCGCGCCTGCTCTGAATGCTTTGATTGCCCACGCTCAACGGCTTTTGCGGGTTGCAGCCATGCTAGGAAGAGGGTTAGCACGGATGCTCCACACACAGCCCCGTCATGGGATTTTGGAATGCAGATGGGAATGCCCTCCCCTCCCCCCCTCCCCATGTTTGCGCAGCGACGAGCCCCTTGCAACGGTCCCCGTCTTGGGAAATGCCAAGCAATTCTATTCCATGAATTGGCATATTAGAATGTGTTCCCTTCAAACCAAAGAGAAATAGGGTCCTCAAAAGGCACCCCCACATGGTCCATCCAGCTGCTGTTTGATCAAGTTCGATCCTCCGGATGTGGCCGGATTGCTGTTCTTTTGTGGTTCCTGGGTTGGTTGGGCCATGGTTTGTGTGCGAAATTTTTGGGGGGCGTCAGCCGATCGACGGGCGGGCGTCAGCCAATTCGCCGAGGTCCTGGAGGCTTTTGCTGTTGTTGCTGGCGCTTGAGCGCGCCCGCCTGGTGACCTTTTTTGGGGCGGGGGTGGGTGGTTTTGGGCGTCTTATGTGCTTGCCAAGAGTTGTACATGCTGCCTACCTTTTCCCTACAAGGGGCAATTCTGCACAAGGAGCAGGGCCAACTTTTGCCCCCGAATTCGACCAGGCGTTGATATGGGTCCTGCTTCTTCTCGGTTTTCATGTCTTGTGCTGCCATGGATCCGGTCTGGGCTCTTCGCATCCCAGTCCTGCGAGCGAATGGGGTAGTTGGCCCCGAGGCCACAGGCAATCGGAGGTCAAGGCATTGCTGGACCGGCCGGCCAGTTGGGGGTGTTTGTTTGGGGAACACCCTTGTGCTCGCTTTTGAAGGCCACATCCAAAGCATGTTTTAGGTGACCAATCCAAGTGGCGGGCACGTCCCAATGAGGAGCCAGTGCTAAAAGACCCGATCCAAAGGCCAAGGGCTGCAGATCTGCGTCCGGTCTTTCTCTTTGCTCAAGTCAAGATCAATCATTGAATCCAGAGAAGGCAAGATGGCTGACCTCAAAAAATAATAACAGCTAGAGACGTCCCATTTCAGTATGCCCGCTGCCCATGACGTCCAGCTGTCTCCCCAGCAAGAATGGTTGCTTGGAAGTCGCTTGAGCATGTTTGGCACAATCCTGAGGTACTTAGATGAGCTCTCTTGCTATTGAAGCGGGTGAAGTGCGCACATGCACACAGATGCAGTTCTTTTTCTTTGCGGAGCGGAGCCTCCCAGAAACTGAGGAAACTCATTGCTGATCGTGCTGCTTGGCAGCTCAAACAGCACCAACTGACAGAAGAGATGCCTACAACATGTAGGTAACATTTTTGATTCTACGTCGGTTCGCTTTGCCCTTTACGTCCTCTTGGACTATGTCATGCCATGCCAGCTGTCGTAGCTCCAATGTCGTGTCCCAAAACCTGAGCCCTCCCCCTCTTTTTTTTTTTGGTTTCCTTTGATTTCCATTTTTCTGGTGGTTTCCCTTGATTCCTTTTTTTTGGCGGTTTCCCTTGATTTTCCTTTGGTTGACCCCCAACAACCCCCAAGAACCCGCCCCCTCCACGCAGGGGAAAGTTCTGAGCCACGTCCCTGGAAGATGGCCAGGCTTTCTGCGCACTTGAACGCGGGCTACAACGGCCCGGCGCCAGGTTCGCGACGGGGGTCCAGATCCTGCTTCAGTCGAAGAGGTGAGTTTCTGGTGATGTTGGAAGTTTAAGGCCTGGATTTGGGGCGCTGGTGACTGGAGCATTCTCTGTGCAAATATCAAGCGCGCTGCCAATATGTTTCTCCAGAAGTTCTGCCACCTGGCACATGCGCAACGCTTTTGATATGACCACTTCGTTTTGCTGTCCGCATTGCCAAACAATGAAAATGCGTGGTCTGCTCCAATCAGATACGGCTACATTGTGCTCGGAAGCTTCCTGACGTGAAAGTAGGAGCACGTTCGCGTGCGGGCAAACTGCGGGGCTTCACCCCTATAACCCTGCCTTGTCACGTAGGAACCCAGGATCGATCCCTGGCTTTTGGTTGGGACCTCCGCACGACACCAAGTTGATCAGACTCTCTCGGAAGCCACCGGGCACCTCTTCCGAGTCGTCTCTCGCGCCCGAGGCCCCTCCCCAGAGCGCCCCAAATCAACACCGGCGCCGACGCCGGCGCCGCTGCTGTTGCCGAAGCCGACTCCTCTGCGAGGTGAAGCGACACATTTTTCCGCAGAGGTGGTTGGATAGGTTGGATAGGCGCCGGGGCCACGGTAGTTTCTCATTTTGTTGGGCTTCCCCGTTTCCCATCTGGGAGCAGCGAGCTGTTGAGGAGCCCAAGACGATCAGTTGTAAATAGGGTGCAAAGCTCACCACGTCTCGCGACCGCGAGGTCCCGGAGGTCGCGGCTTCAGAAAGACCGGGGAAAGGATGGGGTTCCAAGGTTCCAGGGAGCCAGAGGACAGGAAGCCGAGGCCATCCCAACCCAAGATCGCTGGAACTTTTCCAAAATGCCAGGGTTCAGGGAGGCCTTCATACATTGAACTACCCCAAGTCGGGTGACAGGAAGGGACTTTGAGCAGCTCACCAAAATCCAAGCTCCCATGTTGTGCAATCAGATGTTTCAAGAACATCCTTGCAGGATCTTTGCAAAGGATCTGGCTGTGGGTCAAAACCAATGGTACCATTTTGGGGTAGGTGCACCACTCATTTTAGTCTATTTTAGTGGGGATTGGGATGTTCACTGAGGGTACGGGATTTTGAGCCGTGGCCATCTTGTCCTAAGTCCTGAAGTCCTGAGGCTTGATGACCATCCGAGGGCGACATCCTATGCCCCAGTGTCTAAGAAGGTGGGCCGGACGGGGGGGCCAGAACCTTTCAGGGAAAATCAAGCGACCGCCAAATCGCTTCGCATTCCTCATGGCCGCTTTTGAAGGAAGGAGTCCAGCGACCCAAAAGCTTCCGCCCGGCCCACGGCCTGAAGCTTTTCTGGCTGTGGCCGGCCGCAACTTTTCGGAGAAGTTGCAGCTGGGTTTGTCCCCAGAATGGCACTCAGACCAGAGAGTTCCCCCAACCGATACACCTGCAGCCAGGAACCCCCTCACTGGCCCAATCCTTTTGGCCCCTTGGCATGTTACAAAGCGGTGAAGTCTCAGAGGCTTTTGTTTCAGAGACCTGACGGAGACTTTTTCAGCCAGGCACTGCAAACAGCAGAGAGGGGTGGCGTCTCCCCCCCCCCCCCCACATCCTCCAGCTCCCATGGAAGCTGCCGCCGCCCTGGCGGCCGGCTGGACGGAGGAGGAGCGAATCCAGATCTCGGATTCCCAGATCTCCGAAGCAAGAAGATTTGATGGGACGGGCAGCTTGCCCCTGTCAGAAGAACCGAAGAAAGGCGTGCTTTGGCGTTTCTTTCAGCTGGTCCAGTTGGTGTTTCCAATATATGATTCGTCTTCCCTTCTTCCGTTATAGTTCTTACTCGCCGGCCTTTGTTGGGTCGGTTTGGGCTTAGTTTGATTTGATTGGGGTTGGAGACTCGGTTTGGTCTTGGATTAGGCTTGGGTAGAGGTCAATTGTGGATTGGTCAAAGGTTGGCAAAGTGTTGCCTTCGGTTGGGTTTGGGGGTTGGAATCTGATCGGTTAGGATGTAAGCTGATTTGGGTGGTGAGAGATGGCCAGCAAAAGTGGACCATGATTATACGTGGCTTGAACGTGCGCATGTCCAGCTCTCCCCGCAACCCAGAAGAGGCAGAAGTGGCAGGATGCAACAAGAAGATCCAGATGCGTCGACACAAACCAAGCCAGAAAAGCAGAAACCGCAGAAACGGCCAGAAGCCAGACATGCCCAGCTAAACAACCAGTGTGAACAATTCCATGAGAACAGAAATAGAGGAAACCCCCCAACAAAAAGCTCCCCCAGACCACCCCCCCCCCCCTCCCCCCACGGCCACTAGGTGTCCTGCCACGGCTGTCGAATGACTGGCTAGGACCAACCGGTGAGGTACTACTACTACGCCTCGTCCCCCACTTCTCCCGAAGCTTGGTGCAGAAAAGTGGGCTTGGGGCGCTTTGGCCGAGCCAGATGTGCCATGCAACCTATGGAAAGCATACCAATGAACGGCAGCTTTTTGGATGTTGGACTTTTGCCGCGTGTTGAAGATCGGAAAACACAGTGATCCGTGAATGAGTTTCATACGAGCACCATTTCATGCCATTTGTACCTGCGAGGCAGGAGGGAGCAATCTTTAGGCGTCCAAGAATCAGGGAAGTCCAGCAGGGGCTCTCATGCAATCTGCACTTGCCGCTCAGTCGGCCTGGCTCAGAGTTTCCTCGTGCGGCTCCGGCCGCTGAGTTGCCTGCGAAGTCGATGTTTCGTCTCCTCGCCTTCGCGGTTTTGGGCTGCGCCGCGGAGCGCGCGGCCTTTGAGGAGCTGCGCGACATCCGCGCGCACGAAGAGCGCGCGAATGCGTCTGCGGCCAGCGGCGCTTCGGCGTTTTGAGCCGGGGAGGGGGCGAGATTTTGACAGGCACAACTAATAGGCCCAGACGCAGACTGCTGGAATTTCCCGTGTGGAACCCTGACAAGGTCCTGCAAACAAAAATGCTTTTGCGGGGAACCCTGCAAATCCTCCCGACCCTTCCTGGCCTTCTCCTTTCATTTTCCACTGCCAAAGAGGGCCATGCTTTTGCGGCAGGATTTGGTCTGGCGGACTGGCGCTGAGTGGGAGATGCTCTTTATTCATGAGGTTAAAGGAATCCCCAAGTAGTGTGTAGCACGAAGAGGGTCTAACGGTAAGAGTCAAGGCTGGCTTAGATCGAGGGTTCGCGCGTGAGATGGTGTCAGTTCTTGCAAAAAGTCGGCATCGACTCGCGAATTGCCCCTCTTTGCGAAACTGAGCTCGCAGTGCTGCCGTGCCAAGGAGCTGTTTTGACCAGCTATGTTATCGTTTTTCTCAGGACGAATCGCACCAAGCGCGGTTTCTAGGAGCGACGCGGAGGTAAACCAATTTTTGGTGGTTCGACTCGTTGGGCTGGACGTGACGTTCGGACAGTCGGACCTCTAATTCCGTAGCAGTTGTTGCCAAAAGTTGTCTTGTGCGTGAGAGATGTGGCAGACACAGCATGTTCTATGCTGACGATACGAATTTCGTGGCAGGCGCAGCATTTCATGGATTTGCAAGCTGTGCAAGACGAAAGCGATGGAATCAGGTAGCTGTGATTCCAGATCATCGCTGCAAGATTTATTTGCGTACGCAAAGTGAACTTTCGCTGTTGGGGCTCGAAAAGTACTACTCGGGTCTCTTGCTAGGATGTTATCTTGTCAACCAACTGTGCCTGACTTCCAGAAAGCCTAGACTTTTTCTGTTCGTGTCCACTAGGAAGTGAGTTATAAGGAGTAAGGGTTTTTTGTCCCAAAACACTGGGGCTTCCCGCCAGAACCTACAAACACGCCCTGGTAGTAGGAAGAAACTTGCCGTTTCTGGCAATTGGCATGCATTGGCAGAAGTATCGGCAATCACTTTTTTTCATGTTTCGGATTTGTTTGGAGGGCAGGGGCATGTGCACTCCATGGATTTTGGTGGGAACCAAGCATGGGATGTTGGGGCCCTACCTTGTGGGTGCCTTCAAAGTACTTGCAGTATTTGCTGGCAGTGGGCAAAGGAACAGTCGTGGGGCTTGTCTCGTGTGTCAACATTAGATTCAATGAATTCAGCTTCCTTCCGTTCCGTCAGGAAGCTGCGACCCCCGCTTGACACTCGTGCAGCAGATCCGGGCTTTGAACTACGGTGCCAAGCCCATGACCGCGGCCTCCAACAAGTGCTGGGAGCGGTGCTCGGCCTCGGAGGTCTCGGGCAAGCACTTCAGCGACACCGCGCTGAAGTTTGTCGCGGGCATGGCGCAAGACAACGGCATCGTGAAGGCGGTGATCTACGGTGGCCTGCATTTGAGTGGGGCTTTGCCGGATTGGGATGTGGACTACGTGTGCAGGAGCACCTTCGACCTCATTGTGCTGAAATGCCCCAGGGGTTACAAGAAATCCTCATTCACCATGAACGGGGACTTGTTTACAAGGAGCAACCCGAGGTGCAGAACCGCGTACGATTCCCTTAACAACGACGGGGGGTATCGATGCGCCTTCGTGGATTGGTGGGATGACTACTGCTCTACCAGGGACCCCCAGACTGATGATGAATGCCCGCAGTGTGGCCAGGACCAATACTTCTGCACCTGACCTTAGGAGTCGTGGGGCCTCAAGGTCTCACTGCTCGGAGTTCGCTGGTGCTTGGGTGACTAGTGATGCCTGCAATGATCGCAGGGAGTCGAGCCCAGTTGCTTACTTGCTGGTGCATGTAGGTCGGCAATCCTTTCCTTCCAGTGGTTCTGGAATGCCCTCGGAAAAAAGAAAAAAAGCAGATCCCATTTTGGCCAGCACTCGACTCCAAGCGCAGGCGGAAGTGTCGCTCTATTCAGCACTAGCCGGCCAGAAGCCATCGGTTTCTGCGCCCGAAGTTGTGACCCGGGTGAAATCCCAATTCGGGGCATAGCCCGACCCGGATTCAGCTCAGACTGGCCCAGGAGGCTCCAAGTCTGGCCGAAAATGGGAGCGGCAAGGCATGCAGAAGTGTTTCTGTGGCATTCTATAGTTCACTTCTTGCGTTTGCGTGTGAGAAGTGGTAGAGTGGAACCGTTAGATTGTTCTGCTAGAAATGCTGTTCATCAGAATCAAAGCCGCGAATCGGCGGTTTTTGAAGACTTGTTTCTGTTAACCCTGCGCATTCGCCCGCACAAGCAAATTCGCTTGACCGGGAAAATCAGGAACTGTTTTTTTTCTTCTTTGTTTTGGGGGCATGAACAAGTTCTCCGCCCGGGTTTCCAAGGCTTGGGGTGGCTTGGGACCTGGGTGAGAGGATTTGTGGCATGGAGTGACCTCTCAGCCGTCCCCCTGGCGCGTAGATCAAGGATGGTTCAGTCGTAGGCTTTGTTTCGTCAAGGACTTTCAGGCTGAGGATGCCTTTCTGGTCTCCAGGCATGGCTTCTCCGGTTTTCTACTCGAAGACTTCGGAGCGAACGGGGAGGTTTCCCCTGAAACGAAGCGACCTTCTCCCTCATCGTACTTTTTTTTTGGCCTGACTCAGCAAGTCCACAATGTATATATATGTATATATATATATATACACACTCAAGCAGGTGTTAGCCAAAGGTGCCGGGATCTGAAGTCTTGCGATTCAATCACTTGGTGGCTCCCAGCCATCCGCTTCCTCGGTCTTTTAGCCTTGTGTTTAGCGAGGATTTCCATGCAACCCACTCAAAGTTCGTCACTTTCAGCGGGGGATCCCAAAGGCCGGACAGCCCAGAGGCCCAGATCTGCCACCGCATCAATGCCTTGGCCCCGCTCGCGCGAGCGGCTTCGCTCGCGCAGGATGGGTATCCGGACTCCAGCTCGGTGCCTGCCGCGCCACAGTTCCCTCCCCCTCCGCGCTCACAGGCGGGAGCGGCGGGGGCGCGTTGGAACCCAGAAGGCGCCCAGGTGTTGATGTTTTCCCCGGCAGGTCATTGCTAAAAGCATTGACTAGGTCCCCCAGCAGTGCCCTTTTACCGTTTCTTTTTTGGGGGCGGGTTCCCCTACTAAAATAGACTACAGAAAAGGGGTACCCTTATTCTAACCCCTCTATGTTTCCCCACTTGAGCCACTTGCTCAAAACCCGAAGATGGATGAAGGTTAGGGATACTCCCAACCATAAATAGCTGCGGATATCCGCCTTCTTAATTCTTTACAGATGGCTCTGGGTAGACCATTACCGGGTTTTGATTATGACTCACTCGATCATTGCTAAAAGCATTGGACAAAAACAGCGCCCGCCAGTGGTGGATTCTTGGTTGGCTGCAACTATTGTTTTGTTGTGTTTTTCTTTTTGTTTGTCATTGGGCCAAACTTCGCACCCTGGCTTTTTTTGCTTTTCGATGCGGACATTTCTTGGACTCGGCTGCTGGTTGAGTTGGAAGCTCCAACCGGAGGGATCGATGGAACAAATTTCAATGGGCGATTGATTTGAGTGCACACGATTTCTTTTCGCACCAAGCTTGAACATCCATAGACCAAATATGAGAAGTGGACTGGCCTCCTTTGTTCCTTGTTCCACCCTCGACATATCTGCTTGCTCGGGCATGATGGGGGTAGTCATCTGCTTCTAAGATTTGATGCAAGCGGCATGATGCTTTTTCCCCCTATTGGTGTAAACTTCGTTCCCCTGCTTGCCGAATTCGAATTCCGAGTTCATAGCAACGCAGATCTCCTGGACGATCGCCATTCAGGGTACAACTGATTGGGCGTCTTCAATCCCATCCCCGCATTTCCTGATTTGGTGGGTCTCAAGCGTCCTGACTGCACTGGTTGTAGTGAGCTCACCTAGGGGCAAACCGAGCTCACTGGTGCTCAAGATCTCAAACAAATGGAGGATTCCCTATTTCCGGCTTGCGAAAAGTCTCAACTTCCAGGCGTTTCCTGGTCCCGCCTCTCTCCCATCCAACTCGAGAGCTGTCTTGCCCTAGGGCGCGGCCGGTTCGGAAGCGGTGCTGCAGGAGCGCTTCAGGTTGGGTCTGAAAGATGGGAGTACAAAAACGAAGGCCCCTCCCCAGTCGCGAGGGGGGTCTTGGCATTTCTGTGTTCTTTTTTGTTTTTTACCGAATTCCCGTGCATCCGGCTCGGGATCCAGGAGCGGTCACCATGGGAGCACGTGCTGGAGGGCTTTCATAGCCCCCCGGATGATCAGCCACCAGGCGCTTTTTTTTCTTCGGGTGCCCTTCCAAATCCATACCCTTGGGCAATGTGGCTGTGGGTCAGAACCCTGTACCCCTTGTGAACAGCAAACTAGGTGCTACATGCGTGTTCATCCGCCCCAAAATGGAGGCATAGGTTATGCCTGTTTCAACCAAAACATCGCTTGGATTGCTGTTGAAGGGGCCCACTGGCGGAATGAAATTCGCCAGCACTGCAGGGCGGTAGCGGAGGGGGGAATTCGAGCCTGGGGGGTGAATTCACTTGCCCAAAGGACCTGGAAACAGAAAGTTGGCCCTATGGAACCTTGACGACTAGAAGATCAATTTTGGAACGCCAAAGCCTCAAAACGCTCGATTCGCTTTGGGCAGCTGAATTAGAGGAAGCCCGCGACTGCACCAGGTGACGCAAGTCCTGCAACTCTGACCTTTTGACCCGGCTGTTGCAAAGGCTCGGAGTCTATGGTCTCGAGCCATTGATCACCCTGAATCAAATCTGCACGATGTTTTCCTTGGCCAAAGCAACCTGAACGCACCTAAACCAACCCCAAGCCTACCCCCAAACCAAGCCCAAACCTACCCGAACCAACCACTTCCATCCTTCGGCCAGTGAGCGCGGCATCGGGGGCGCCGCTGCTGCACACTCAGCAGATGGCCGTGGAAATGCCGCCCATGAGGAGACGAAACGGGGCCTCGGCAGGCGGTGAACAAAACGAGCGAACACCCCATGATGTACCCTCCCACCAACATGGAAGTGTCCTTTCCAAGAGGAAAGTCGTCTTTCTACAGGGGTCTGTGCAGAGGGAAGGCGTTTTACAAAGTGGACTCCGAAAATATCAGATTTGGAATTGTGAGCATGCTGATGGGTGTCCTTGGTTCAGTTTTGGCAACAACATCAGCGGATTCAGCTAGTTGCAGGTTGGTTCTGGCCAGGGTTGTGGAATCAAAAGGTTTATTCCCACCTCTGTGATACAAGGACATCTCCCCCTTTATGTGGGGTGTTGTATCACAGAAGTGGATTCCATTTCCCACAACTCTGGTTCTGACCATTTACCAGCGCCAGTGCCGACATGTTTTTTCGAGGACACCTCGAGGTGTGGATGGTGTTTGTTCGAAAGGCGTCTTTTTGCAGACTTTTGGATGCTTGAAAATGGAAGCCAAAGAGAAGTTGAAGCAAACACTTGGGTCCACATGTTGGGACAAACCCGATCGAAATATATTTGCATGGAAGTGAGGGCCTTTGTCCAAGAGGAACTTAGTGCTCCAAAAGGGGGCCTGCTCTGCTTCGAGGCAAAGCAGGTGGGAGGGCATTCTTATCTTAGCTTCTCTCCAATGATACGAATCTTACCATCCTCAAACCTCATGACTTGGGTGGATCCGGAAGAAGACTTTGTATGATTCGGGAAAACAAGCGTTTTGCGTTGAACCTGCAAAAGGTTGGAGTTTTCGTGTAGGCCGAGGCAGGATCCAGGCAGGGGGCGGGTTTCCGTTGTAGAAGCGGGTGTGGGGTCAGCGTGTGTTCGCTGCGGGCGCAAGCATTTGCACAATAGTAGAAAGCACATATACATATATATATATGTATATATATATATACACGCGCATACAACTGTATATATATATATATATGTTCTCGTCGCCCGTCGTCCCCAGCCCCCCCAATGGTATGGGTCCATCCGGGGGCGGGGGGGGGGGACTATGGGCCCCCCCCCACCCCCACAGGGGGCAGGGGCTTGTGGGGCGGTTTGCGCCAGTGTGCGCACGACGTTGCGGGCGCGTTTGCGGCTCTGGTCGTGTGTTGCGGTGCAGTGCGATTTGCTCATTTCGCAGCATCCGACAAGTTGCAGCGCTGTCGCAAGTGACAGTGCGCGATGCCACGACGCAGTTTGTGGTTTGCAGCGCCGCAGCCAAGTGCTAACCAAGTGCGCTGCAACGCGCCAGTGGCAAACGCACTTTCCTGCCTACTATAGACCCCAACCCCTATTCCCACAGGGGGGCGGGCGGTGTGGGAACCATGGTCACACTGTGCTACCCTCTGTAGACCCCAGCCCCCATCCATCACACAGAGGGTGGGGAGGCTTGCGGTCACACTGCGCTACCATTCTCCCGAAAAAGGTGAGAACCATGGACCCCCCCCCACCCATCCCACAGCGGGGTGGGGGGTTTGTACGGTCACACTGTGCTACCTTCTTGACTGAGCATGACCATTGGGGGGGTGGGGGGGCTAAGGAAGCCTGGAAAAATTATACAGATATATGTATATATATATATATATATGTAGGTGCATACACATGGGGTGACAACCACGTGCAGCCCTTGTGATCCCTCCGAATGCCTTGGCGCCCTAGGAAAGGGATCCACAACAAGCACACAAGCAGACAGCAGGGCTTGAACAAGACGGGGGGGGGGCAGGCAAAGCACAAGGGTAAAGAAAAAGAACAGGGGGCTAGAAAAAAGGGGAAAGGACGCGTACGGGCGAAAAAGGGGGGGGAACGAAAGTAACACATCCTACGAACACAGGAAGCGCCAACAAAAGAAAACGGTCGTGTGGCTGCGGCTATGCATGTTGATGCAGAAGAAAGAAGAGACATCTTGTACTTTTCAGGTACTTGGAGGGGACCTGTGAACTGGACAGTGCCACATACGGTTTTGAACTTGGAACATAGAATCTTGACCCGTGCCACGCGTCTTTTTGCGCCATGTCATCCTGAAGAGGTGGGTATGGCTCAACCCACGAAAACACCACAAGTCTTCGTTTTACACATATGAGTCCATGTCTCCATCCAAGGCTTGTGCCATTTTGGCGTTACCCTATGTTTGATCGGCCCCCATCCAAGGTTTGTGCCATTTCGGGGTTACCCTATTTTTGTCCACCACGGCCGTTTCTTTTTTTCTTTTTTCCCTTCTTTCCCTTCTTTTCTCGTTTTTTTCTCCCTCTTTTTTCGGGGGCTGCCCCGCTTTTTTTGGCCGCCACGGGCCGCTTTTGGCCGGGTCAGGATGCCCATCATGGCGGCCATCGGCCCGGTGCCCAGCGGCCGGGTGGAGCTGCTCTCGGCGAACCTGGGCCCCGCGGCCGCGGCCACCTCCATGCGGGGGCCCTCCGCGCCTCGGGAGCCACGGGCGCGGGGCGCGGGATCGCGGGATCGCGACCCTCCCGGCGGACGTGGGCGGTGGTCATTGGACCGTTTGGGTGGATCCCGTTTTGGTGGATCTGGGGGTACGGGAGCTTGGGGGGGGGCCCTAGGTTGACACATGGCGGTGGTGGTCAAAAACGTGTTGGGTGGGATTTTCGGTGACATCACCCATTTTAGGACCTATGTTAGTGGTTGGATTGAATCGGATGTTCACTGGGGGTACGATTTGGGTTTTGACCCATGGCCACATGGCTTGGTGCACAGACTGTAGAAAGGCGACTTTTTCCTCTTGGAAAGGGCGAATTATTCTTGTTGCACTTCCATGTTTGGTGGGAGGGGTATGAGGTCTTGGTTTGTGGGGTAAAACCAAATCACCAAGTGGGAAGCTGCGGCTCGGTGCGGTTGGCTAAGATTTGATCCGACCCGACGCACTACCCCCCCAGCCTTAGGGGGGAACAAGGCCTTCGAAAGGCCAAGCTGTTGCTGTTTGTTCTGTTTTTTTTTTTGGGTGAGCATGATTCACCACCCCTCGAGGGCCAAACAAAGGCCAAACTGTGGCTGCTGTTTTTTTTTTAGTAGTAGGGGGTTTGAATGGGGCCAGTGGGTTTGTTATGTCAGTTGGGGAGAGGGCCTCCGAGCCTCGCAAGCAGCTGGAGTGTATTTTGTGGAAACCATGACAAGCACAAGAGTATCATTCCCACGAGGGCCCCCACAAAAAAAGAGAGGAAAAACAAACAACGAGAAGAAAACAACGGGAGCCCCTTGGAGGACGGAATTTTGTGAGACCGCCTGTAGAATTTGTTTTGCGTTTCCTGGCCTCCAACGAGCGGGGTGTGCCTGACGCCAAGCCGGAGTTGCGGTCTTCCCTCACGAAAAGCTGTTTCGCTTAGCGTGTAGGGTTTTGTTTCGTGGGTGAATACTACACGCTTTGGCCGGAATTCGCTGTGCTGTTGTTGGTTGTGCTTTTGGGGAGTTCTTGCCAAGTGATCCGGCAGCCACTAAACTGGAGGTCCCCGTAGGGGTCAGACTTCTGCTTCGAAGACCGGACGGGCTAAGGAGGCTTTCCAGAAGTGGCTCACCGACCTAGAGCAGCGACATGAAGAGCGGCTCCTGCAGGAGACAAACCGAAAGGCTCTCGTTCTGGGTGAAGGTCGCCCCAGGATTGCAGAAGCAAATCCATGTGGGGCAGGATATGGGTTTTGGTTTCAAGAGATCTGCTTATACTATTGGATTGGTCGTGGATTGGATTGGTCGTGGAGGATTGGCTTTAGTAGTCCGAGGTGCGGATTTGTTCCCGAGGAAGTTGATAAATTGGGGGCATTTTGGGTTGTCAGGTGGGATGTGGGGAGGTTGGATTTCCTGGATTCCGCATTTGAATCGAGTGAGGGATCGGCGGCTTGAAACTTGTGAGGTCTACAGATTTGGCAGACCTCGCCCGATGGCAACCGTTTTTGGAACTGTTCTTTGTTCGATTTGGAAGTCGCAGCCAGCTTTGGACGACGGGCCCCATTGTTGAACTCATGGCTTTTCTTTGGAAAGAACTGTCAAATGGCGCAAAATAGGGCTCATTTCCCGTGGCGTCTCACTTTTTCATATTTTGAGGCTCCTTCTCTTGCCCCCAAAAGGGGTGGCTCTTTCGATTTTGAGCGAGCCTTTGTGAGGATGCCAGAGGCATCCAAAGGTAAAATTATCTTTCCCCCCAAAAATATATATCTAAATTCGCTCTGGCATCCAAAGGTAAAACTCCCCCCCCCCCCCCAAAAAACAACAACAAATAACATAAAATCACATCTCTAAATTCGCAGGAGGCGCAGCGGAGGTTCTGCCTCTCCGGGCCCTACGCCTCGCTGGCGAACTTCAAGACCTGGCTCTGCGCGGCCTCCCACCACGCGGACGAGGCGCCTGCTCAAATTGTCCCGCGAGTGTGGAGTTGCAAGGCTCGGGATTGGTCCAACCGGTTTGGTTGCGCCACAAGTTTTCTCCTTTTTTGGCCAGGTGGGATGGCCTCTTGGAGAGCTTGAGTCTCGTTGTTCCAACCTACATGAGCCATACCACTGAGAAATTCCTGGGCTGGCCCATCAGGGTAAGGGCTGTTGCAGCCATCGCAAAGCTGATTGTTCTGTTCCACACGCGCGGCACGTCGCAAGGATCCCAGTAAATGAATAGGCGACCGCAAAATCCCACTCGTGGAAGACAACCTGCGCAGTGCGTGAATGGTTTAGAGTCGGTTGGCTGCAGAAGGGTTCATACCAGGCCCTGCACGAGTTTGCCCGGCCCCTGTTTCTTCCCTTTTGTGTCTGAGGGGGCACAACATGTGGGGTGACCTTCAGCACGAATTTTCAATCCAACCTTTCACAAGCTCTTTGGCTTTTGGCCGCAGTGAATACCAAGGACAAGCTTCGAAACTCGTCATGATGGACTTGTGATGAGTTCACCAAAGGTTGCTATTTGGGTGTGGCCCAAAGTAGCCGGCACCAGAACTGGACAAAGGGGAGACTTGAAGCCAAGGTCCGAAGAGGGGAACTTGCAGATTTCTGCTGTGTTGATGATCCCCACACAACCCCTTTTTGTCAGTGAACCCTGTTAGCACCCATAGGCGGTTGCTTGCTTTCAGCTGTTCCACTGCAGGGACTTTGTTCCAAGCACTTTCCATTGTATTTGGCTTTTTGGGTTAGGTTGGACCATTGGATTTGGGACTTCATTCTGGTTTGGGGGCATTCGCCAGTCTGGAATCCACATTAAGGACGGGAGAGAGTCGGAGAGAGGTGACCTCCAGAGAATTTTAGCGCCCAACACCGATTCCTATTGGCCACTTGCCGGGTTCTGCCTAGTTTGACTGGATTTATAGCAGGACCTACGTGAATCTCGAGAAGCATATTGGTAGAACCAACGCTCGATGGACATTTGGAAATCATCCATTTTCGTGGGCTCCCAATTTGAGAGACAACTGGGGGAGAGGGTCAGAAGGTATTTCAAGCCCAAATTACTCATTACCCTTTTCCCACTCACATGGCACCTGTAGCTGGAAGATCCTTTTTGTTGGAGGGACCCCCTTTTCAGCTGCCATGTAAAGGGCCCGTGGGCCTGCAGCCATGGCCTTCCCGAGGCCACGGTGCGCGAGATGCGCCGGGCGCAGCTGTGCGCCTGGCTGCTTTGCCTCCGGGCGCGCGGCCGCACCTGCACCATGCCCCCGGAGGTAAAGGACACCTATGCTCGAGGGCGGTTACGAAATCCAGTTGGCGGTGGTCAAAACCGTTTTGGTGGATCCCATTTTGGGGGGGGGATTTGGTGAATTCACCACCCATCTTAGAACCTATCTTAGTGGGGATTGAACCGGATGTTCACTGCAAGTACGGGATTTGGAGCCATGGCTATTTCGCACCACCTAAGAAACCCTGGTTTCTGATGATCTCCCCCTGTAAATACCGCAACAAAGAATGGTTTTCGCATGGCTTCAAAGTGGTGCAGGATTTTGTCCATCCACAGTATGACCCCGAAGAACCACCCGGGGTTCGTCTCTGGGAAACTCGTGGAAATCACCCCCATTTTGTGGGGGGCCTCAAAATGAAGACGCCAACTGGTTTCCTTGGAAGTGGCCGGGTTTCCACGAACGCCGCTTGAATTGCCAGCAAAGCACGTTCGAGTAAAGCGGGATGTTCGGTCCGATCCCTTGCAGGGGACTAGCATAGAACCCAACTTTCCGCATGCAAGGCTTTTCGTTTTTGCCAAAATGGCTTGCCCTGGTGGAAACATGGACCAAAGCCTGCGTGACTCTAGCTTTTTCATTTTGAGCCACTGCCAAATGGATATGTCAATAGGGGAACTTCGTGGGGTTTTGATGGCCACCCTTCTGGGCAGCCACCCTTCTGGGGAGGGATCCATGTTTGGTCCCTAAGAGTTATATCTTTTTGTGTGTTTTCTCTCTCTCTCTCTCTCTCTCTCTTGGTCTCCCATGTATACATAGTATATTTTAATAGTGACTATTATTATTATCATTAAGAGTCATAATGTATTAGTATAGCCAGTCATAGTTGCCATGATCGTCACTATTTGGCGTATTTGTCCGTTCATTTCTTTTTTTTTTACTTACTTACTTACTTGCTTGCTTGCTTACTTATGTATTTGCTTAATTATATATTTTTATGCAATGTCTCGTATATTCAGCTATGTGTTTGTTTATTCTACTTAACCACAAGACAGATAATGTTATTATTGTCATTACTGGTTACTTATCATTGTTCATTGCTATCGCATTATGACGATTATTGTTAGTCTTACTATTCTTGTTTTCATCATTCTTATCACTAGTGCTATGATACACACATATACATATATGTGGATCTACGTGTTTGCACTCCAATCGTTGTTTTTTCCCCTTGTACACACACACACACTCACACTCACACTGACACGCACATACATTTATCTGTATATATATATATATATATACATATTATACATACATGTGGGCAAAGGCCAATCTTCATCCAGTGGTTTTGAAGAAATCAACATCACAGTCGGGACTTTGTGCACACTCCGATGGCCACGCCGCTTGTGCGCGCCTTGGGTGGTCGCCAACGCTGGAGCTTTGGGCTAGGCGGGGAGAGTTGCTGGGGATACGCAGCGCATGGGCGCGTTTTGGACTCGCTATGGCAGCTTATTGACGCGTTCCGGCCCCCTCTTGAGAACAGCTTTTGTGGCCCGTGTTTTTTTCCTGGCTTGCTTTTGCATTCGTTTCGTTCGCATTGCGCTGCTCATGGTTTCTGGTGGCTTCCAAGACGCCGCCTTCCCTGCCCCGAAGAATGCAGGTAGGGTTTGTAGATTTGTAGGTGAAGGGTACCTTCGAAGGTGTCGCTGAAACCTTGGATCCAGGCCTCCCTTTAAGTCACCTTTGAAGGTCGGATGCCGAAAAGGCTGCTTGCTAGCCAGTATGAATCGAAACAATTGGACGGTCCGCGCAAAGCTCTGCGGCCAAGCAGCCTCGAAGCATGCCTTTCCGCTGTCTGCTTTGATCTGTCCAACCTGAAGGGGAGTGGCCAGTGCGGTCAGGACCGCATCGATGCCTTCGTCGGAGGCAAGCACGTGTGGGGCCCCATCAACGCGGCAGCTTGGACAAAATTTGGCGCGGCCGGTCGGCCGGAAGTTTCGGGACATTTCGGGGGAAGGGCAATCTCTAAAAGGGAGCAGGCTGAGACTTGGGAAAGTCGGGCATTCCATTTCTTTCGCTGGTCACATCCAGCGATGCTCGAATTAGAGTTGCAGCTCGGTGAAATTTGGTCCAAACTGGACTCGCGCACAGCTGGGATGAATGCAGGTGGCGCCTCTGTACAAGAGAGACAGCGCCCACTCCCCAGAAACGTCCACGCCAACGAAACCTAAGAAGGTTTGAGGGGCCTTTGGCTTCCCATCCCTGTTGAGCGTCTACTGAGCAAAAAGGGGTACCATCAAGAAAATACACCCATCTATTCTCCAAATGGATTACAAGTGAATTGCAACATTTAGTCAGCTACTTGCAGTGTTTCACTTCGCCCCGCAAAGATCAGAGATGCCTCAACTTGCAATCTGGGGTTCACCAGACTTGCCCTTTCAAGTGCCGTTTGCAGCAAGCCGCTTCTGCTTCTCCAACCATGTTGAAGGATTCTCATAGAGGACCCATTGCTAAACCAAGCTGGCGACTTTCTAGCGCCAACTTATTTCAGGGAACCGGATCCGGTTTTTGGAGGATGGTTGAAAAGAATGGACACGGGCTCAACCCCTAGAATGGACCCTGTTGGTATTTTTTCTGGAAGCCAAGAAGGATGGGATCGAAACCATAGAAGGGCTGGGAAAAGAGAAAGGGCGGGGAAAGATGGAAAAAGCCGTTCGAGACTTGTGGCACTTGGTGCCCACCGACCCCCCCGCCGCGCCTTCAGCCGAGGCCCGCGCCAAGGCCATCGCCGAGTGCGCCCAGCGGCAGCTGAAGCGGAGCGAGGCGCGGAGTGCGAGAGGTTTCTCGCGGCGGATGTCGAGGTGTCCACCTGGTTTCGTGGGTTCCCCCCACTTGCCACCTGGTTTTCCACCTGGTTTTCCACCTGTGTTTTTTCTCTTGTTTCCAGCTTTTGTGTCCTTTTCCACACGTCCAGTGGGTCTTCAGACGGGATATGGACTCCCCCAAAAAGGGCTCTGGTTAAAACGAAAACTAAACAGGGCAACGGGTGTGTGTGTGTGTGTGTGTCTTTTTTGGGGAAGACCCCCTTTAGTTGGTTTGAACGGGAAACAGGTATTCCCATTCAACGTGTTTTTGCCATGAACTTTGAAATGGTTGGTTTCTTTAGTGGACAGCACTGCACGGCGGTTTATTTCCACCAGCAACCACGGGTGTGTCTTGGGGTAAAGGGAAACCACAGCGTAGCCACCCCTGTTTTGGGGAGGTACCCTCTTTGGGGTGGGTTTTTCGGGACACCAACACGGAGTCCGAGAGAATTTGCGGGGCATCCCCTTAGCCTTTTAGCTTTTTAGTGTTTGGTGGGGATGTCCATTTAACCCACTAAAAGTCAAGCTTTTAGCGGGGGATCTGAGGACAGCCCAGCTTTGAGACACAGCCAAAGGGTGTCGAAGCTTGGAACCCTTTGGGTGGACCGCCAAAAACGCCAGTTCGGGGCGTGTTTTGGGTGGGGCCTAAACCGCACACCCAAAGGGTGGAAGGGTTGCAGGGGTCACCTCTATGAGTTGGCAAACCAGGTCAATGAGTGCAAACGAGTGGGTTGGAGAACGAGGTGAAACGCGGCACCTCACCAAGAGAAACCGTGCAGCGACTCATTGCAGTAGCTCGCTTTCAACAGTTCAAAGGGCCCCGGAAAATTAGAACGGTGCTTGCCCAAAGCACCTGGAATTGAAGGTCAAGCTTTTGGGACAGTTCACCATCAGCTCCCCTCCCACATGAATAATTACATGCTTTCAACCTAGGTTTTTTTTTGAGGGTCTTTGATTTGTGGGGTTTTAAGCGGAAACCAACAGGAATCCCCCCCCCCCCCTCTTGTTTTTGGGCGGGTCCATTTGGCGGGTGGTTCCGCTTGGAGCCGATGGCTTCTCGAGGGCCTGCTGCGGCAATCCGCCTTGGCAGCGCTGGTGGCGAGGCGCGCGGACCGCGCGAAACACACAGGCGTTTGGAAGGATTTTGTGGAGGGCCCCCCCTGGTTTGGGGTTTGTGGTGTTGAAAATAAATCGACAGTGGTAGCTTTTTAGAAGGTTCAGTTCACCCCAAAAATGATCTGGACAGATGAAGATCACAAGTAACCGTAGATAGCCTAGGTCCCCCAGATACGTGCCCTTTCTCACGCAACTTTTTTGGTTGGGAGGGTTCCCCTGCTAAAAGCACGCAAGAATATTTTGTGGAAAGCACCCCTGGTTTGGGCTTGGGTTTAAGAAAAGAGTCGATAGTCTAGGTGGTTCCCCTAGTAAAATAGACTACAGAAAAAAGAGTACCCTTATTCTAACCTCTCTACTGGAGGACCTAGTAGTAGCTTTTAGGGATCAAAATCACAAGTAGCCATACATAGACGCACACATGTTGGTTTCATTTGGAGGTAAGCCCATGGTCCCCAATTGGTTGGAGCGGATTCGGTTGGAGCCCTCTGACTTTAAGGTCCGTGGTCTCTTCGGAAACTGGGCACAGACGGCGCTTTTGTGCGGACGCTTCGATTTCTATCGGCTCGGGTTTTCTGATACGTGAGACCGGGCAATGGACAGGTGTGAGAGTCCAGGCGGGCAAGTCCCAAGTCTCTGTGCCTTGCAATGCGGCCTCAAGTAACCGGAGGGCAATGCTATTTGGCAGGGAACTATGTTCACCGAAGGGTTTTCAACTGAGGTTCTTACCTACAGCCTGACGTTCATCTCAAGTCGGTTCCGTCGCAAGTCGGCCCCAAGCCTGGGGTAGAACAGGTTCCAGCTTGGTCCGAAGGACGATCGTGTGTAGCATCCTAGACCCCATTTGTTGGAAGTTGGCTTCAAAGAGGCCGCGTGCCAGGTATGTGCACCCTGCAGTGGTGCAAGCGGCGGAAGCTGGCTGTGTGGCCTGCTACACGGAGATCCCCACGGACGACAGTGCCCTACAGGAGCGGCACTTGCGTTTGACCTTGGCTTGTCAGCTCACTTGACTGTTTGTCTGTCTGTCTGTTTGGCTGGCTGGCTGGCTGTGTCTGTCTGTCTGTCTGGCTGGCTGTCTGTCTGTCTGTCTGGCTGGCTGGCTGGCTGGCTGTGTCTGTCTGTCTGTCTGTCTGTCTGTCTGGCTGGCTGGCTGGCTGGCTGGCTGTCTGTCTGTCTGTCTGTCTGTCTGTCTGTCTGTCTGTCTGTCTGTCTGTTTTTTTCTGTCTGGCTGGCTGGCTGGCTGGCTGGCTGGCTGGCTGGCTGTGTCTGTCTGTCTGGCTGTCTGGCTGTCTGTCTGTCTGTTTGTCTGTATGTCTGTCTGTCTGTCTGTCTGTCTGTCTGCCTGTGTCTGTCTGTGTCTGTTTGTCTGTCTGTCTGTCTGTCTGGCTGGCTGGCTGGCTGGCTGGCTGGCTGGCTGGCTGGCTGTGTCTGTCTGTCTGTCTGTCTGTCTGTCTGTCTGTCTGTCTGTCTGGCTGTGTGTCTATCTGTCTGTCTGTCTGTCTCTGTCTCTGTCTCTGTCTCTGTCTCTGTCTCTGTCTCTGTCTCTGTCTCTGTCTCTGTCTCTGTCTCTGTCTCTGTCTCTGTCTCTGTCTCTGTCTCTGTCTCTGTCTGTCCGTCCGTCCGTCCGTCTGTCTGTCTGTGTGTCTCTGTGTGTTGCGCGTTTCTGTGTTTGAGTCACAAGCAAAACCCGGGGATTGATGAAGGTTAGGGACGGGACCCCAACCGGAAATCGCTGCGGCCGCCTTCCAAGTTCTTTACATGGTTCCGGGTAGACCATTTTAATACTGGGTTTTGATTGTCGTTGAATATCTAAGAACCATTGCTTCCCTTTCTGGAGCAAAAAGCCCAGAAGGGATCAGGAATCTAGGCCCCAAGCAATCCTGGGGACGTTGCCCAGAATACCTGGAGCCTCAAGCTACCCGAGCTCATTGGTCTTGGGGGTCGCCTTCCTAGAAGCCCAGGCCCAGCTGGGCCCCTGACAAGCTTTTCTTCGCGCGAGGCCCTCTTCGAAGTAGTGGCCTCTGAGCCGCAGCAGACCAAGGCCAGGAGTCAGAGCGCTTTCCGGGTCAGGGCTTTATGACCAAGACACTTGTTGACACAAGAGAATTGGTTGGGCTCCCTTTGAATTTCCCTCGAGGCTGCCTCTTACACCTCTTGCACAAGAGGTCGCCTCTTGCATCTTTGAAGGGTCTTTGCAGCGACCCGGACCAGTGCTCTGGATTTGTCTCGAAATGTCAGAACCCCCCAAAATGGCAGCAACTGAAATTCCCCTTGACAGCTCCAACAGTCCCACCCCTCTAGTTTCAAAAGGATGGTCAAAATGCGTGGCTTCCAAATCGGTGTGTTACGTGTTTGGTCCAAAAGGATGGTGTTGAGTGGGGGCAGCCGTGAAGTCACTTTCGCGGGGCGTTTTTTTTTTTTTGCATTCCACAGCAAGGGAATCGCAGGGCCTTCCACAAGAAGCGCAGAGTAAATTCATATTTATGTTATATATGTATATATATATATATGCGCATGTATATGCTTGTATGCGCTTGTATGTGTTGCCACATACATACATAGGTCCAAGCTCCAATCTCACGCCAGGAGGTTGGCGCTATGCTTTGCGCGCACCTGGCCATCGATGGCTTTCAGGCGGGGGCTCTCAAGGCATTTGGACTTCTGTGGCCTATCGGTGGAGAGCCAATCTGTCGCCGCAGATGCACTTTCTCGGTGTCTTATGGATACCCCGCCCTTCATCTGCATGAAAGAATATTTCTACAGGAACTTCTACAGGAACTTGCTTAGACTGGGCATATCCAAGCCTAGACCGGGCTTATCCAAGCCTTATCCAAGCTTAGAAATCATCAAAATCGGGGCCTCAGAAGGGATTGTCTAGCAACGGGGGATCATGCCGTACCAGTGGGCAAATCTCCAGGAAGTTAAATTGGGCTTAAACTGGGCTTGTTTTAGCTTAAACAAGGCTTAAATGCCCCTTAAACATGCTTAAATCCTCCCTAAAGCAGCTTAGGCTAGATTCCCAAGAACATTCCAATTGAACTTCCTGGAGAATATCCTGGAGATTGTTTCTTTGACTGCAGTTCAGACCCCTTTGCTGGGAGAGTCCAGCAGCTATCAAGAAACCTATGAATGGTAGGGCACCCAACCGGCTCAAATCAAGCGCCTCACGCCGGCTGGAGCGGACATTGCACAGGATTTGAGGGGAGCCCTCTGGTTTTCTCCGAGGGGGTTCCCCACCTTTCAAGGTACCGCAGGGCCCCTTTTTTCCCCCCACCTCAAACCAGGACCTCACGAAGGGCTGGGCGTCCGGGGATTCCTCAGGTGGAGCCGAAGTACCACGACCCCGAGTACGGGCTGTGGCGCGGCTTCTGGGCTTTGGCCTCAGATCGCTCGCTGTTACCTGAGGGGGACCTGGGCAAACCGAAAGGTCAAACGACAGGTTTGCGGGTGGGGGAAAAAATGAGCCCTTGCCTTGGTTGGCCAAAAAGGTATTCGGGGTGGGATGGCATGCTGGAAAGGTGGGGTGGGTGGGTACTTATCCCATGTGTGACAAAAGGCCAGGACATTTGCTTTCCATGCGTGCGCACATGAGCACGTGTGCATGCCACGACATGTTGATTACATTATTCATGGATGCCAGTCAGCGTTGTAGCTTTATGTGTTGTTTTACCCAAGGGCGAGACGCGTTGTGGCTTGGTCGAAGCTGATCAAGTTCGAAGGGCTGAGCTTCAACATCCTCAGATGTTTGAATTCTGCTCGCATGCTGCGTGTTTTGCCTGGAGGGTTGGAGCTGATCCTAGTTGTACCTCTTTTGTCAGAGTGTCACAAAGAACCCTTGCCCATCTCCGTTCTCGAGCTCAATGTCCAAAGTGTCTTGTTCCGTTGTGTTTCATTTTTTCTTGTTTTTCTGGGCTGGCGTTTGGCTTTCCCGTTCTTTTGCTCGCTGCAGCTTTCGAGGCGCATTTGGGTGGCTTTTGGCAGCTTTGGGCGGCTTTGTGCGGACCCTGAACCCCCAAAGCCATCCTCAGCCCGCTTTTTTTTCCCGCCCTGAACCCACCAGAAGCCAAGCACAAAGCCGGCCCTTTGCCAAGCCTAAACCCACATGAAGCCACCTAAACCCTAAACCCACCCAAAACAACCTAGGCCGACCCGAAACCCTAAACCATCCCTAAATACACCCTAAACAAATGGACTGACCCTCAAGCAACCCCAAACCAGCCCAAAACCCTGAACCCACCCCAACCTAAACCCATCCGAAACCAAACCCAGACTGAGCAAGGCCCCAACAGACCGTGGGCCATGTTATGAGTGTTAAAAGTTGATGCTAGGGATGTTAAACCGATGCTGGCAATATTGACGGGAAGCTGTGCAACTGTAGCTCCAACAGCAAGCTTTTCTGGACGCAGACCTGATGGCTTTCAGCAGGGGCAAAATCCCAAAGTAATGCAACACCAAATCACCGAATAAAACTCCACCCAACGCGTATTCACAGAATACAATCTATATAGCGGCTGAAAGAAGTTAGGCCTTCCGCTTGAAATTCCAAGTCCAGCAATGGCGGTTTAGAGGGAACCCCTCCAAAAAAAAGACATCGAGAACCTCTCCAAGTGTTTTTCAAATGGACCCGAGTGCCCGTTTGAGGTGGACAAGTGCAACCGCCTGCGCCTGGTTCTCCGCTGGTGACGGGTGACTGGGACTTGGCACCGAAGGCGGCGCAGCTCAGTGGCTCGGTCCGCCGGGAACCCGCACCACGCGACTCCCGGCGGGTGTTTTAAAGCAAGGGATGTACAGTACCACTTGCGGTGACATTGACATGTCCTTGAACACATGCCGAGAAATTGATGCATACATTCATGTATCTCTCTCTCTCTATATATATAACACAACATACATGGATATGAATATTTGTATGTATCAGCGCTCAAGATATGCTCCACGCATAGTCGGGCAAAGCCGGCAAAGCCAAGTGAAGCTTGAGAGGCACTCAGTAGTTTGCACGAGTCCGGCCTCAACGAGCAGACGCCGCTCGCCTTTTGCCGTGGATCCCAAGGGCATGCTTCCTTTGCCGGGCGGCTCTTGTGAATCCGCCCTGTCAGCATACCCAAAATGACGGATCCATTGCGACCCAAGGGATCTGCAATATTTGGGGCCTTGCTGGGACCTGGCCAAGCGATTCTCGGGGCGCCATGATTTGTTTGTTTCACCTCGGTCAATGCGAGACACTTGAGTCGTCGTTGTTGCTGTTGCTGCAGTCGCCACACGGGCAGAACTCGCCCAGTTTCTTTGAATCGCCCTCCAAAGCTCTGGTTTGCCGACCCAAGCAATCGGATTTGACCTTTCGCTGGAGCTTGCTTCAGCTGCATGTGTCTAGAATGTCCCTTTGCGGGTTTCCTTGCCCGTGCAGGGGGACATGTAACTCGTTGACCGTGGAAAACGAAGGGCGTGCGAGTCTTTGAGCGCAGCATGGTGGGAAGCATTTTGTGCCGAAGGATTGGCACTTTTGCCGAGGCAGTTGTATGCAAAAGTGGAGACTGGGGCGGGGGATTTGTTGAGCCTAGGTTTGGTCTGCAGTGTAAACAACATGTATTGGGAGCAGAGAATGGGGGCGATATGATGCTCGTATGTCAATCAGCAACTCTGAAGATTGGAACGTCAACATAAGCGTAAAAATGCGCACCGGTTGTAGTGCGGGGGATTGTGCTCTCCGTCCATTTGCTTTTCAGGTTCTGCCCATGGACGGGAAAGATGGCATAGGCTTGATTCGCTTAGGTCAGCTGGAGTGCATTTTTGTTCGAGCAACTAACCACGAAAGCTGGGTGCAGAGAAGTTTACTCTTTGCTCAATGTCGCTTCGGAGCGGGGTGCACAATGCTTTTTCAACCAATGGTGTTCTGACTGCGGGGTTAAGTGGAACTTTGCGTCCCAGCTTGTTCCTTCAGCACGCGCACCATTGGCAGACAGATTGGACGCACCCCGACCCCTTCAGGAATCAGGCATACTTCGCCGTGCCAGGCTGCTTGCCTGCTTTTCGATCGCGGAAGCGATCGACGCTGCTTGCCAAGGGCGACTCCATGAATGTAGGGTATTTGTGGCTGGATCATTCATTCTTGGCTCGCAGCCGAAGGCCCACGGGTAAATAGTACAGACTGATCTTTCACGAGATGACCCTCTGTTTGGCGTCCGCATGGCAGAAGAGCGCCGGGACTGAGAATTCTTGGAGCGCGAAGATCTCTAGCTTGCAGTGGCCCGCCAAGCGGAAGCTGCGAAGACCCTCGAAACAAAGAAGACCAACACGGTCCCCCAGCTAGGTGCCGTTTTACTCTTTCTTGGGGGAGGGATCCCCTACTAAAATAGACTCAATTTACTACAGAAACAAGTTGGTACCCTTATTCCAACCTCTCTACTGGAAGACCTAGCCAAGGGGCCCACTTTGCACGTGCCATGGCCTGATGCTGCGGCCTGCGCCATGGTGAGCACTCCAGGCGGGAAAATTTGATGGACAGTTTGGGCCTCAGCACATCGTGAGTGGGCACCTGGAGGTCGGAAATAGACTTCAATCCCCCAAAGGAATGGATTGTTTGGATGGTTTGCTACACGCATACCAGTTGGCAAGGTTGACATGAATCTGCTTCGAAGAAAGTCTGAGTGGATCAGGTGTTTTCTGGATTCGTCTTTTGACCCCTGGGCCGGGGTGTGTACAATATGGCGACTCATTTCTTGGCCCATGTGTTTCAGGGTATCCGCTTGCTAGGGAGCATCCAACAGAGATGGGCCCGCAAATCTGGGGCCCGTCTTCTCTGCCGGAGCACAGGTGAGACGCTGGGGCGCTTTGAATTCGTTGCCGCATGCGAGGCGGGGCCGCGGAAGGTTGTGAAGTGGTCCTCTGTTGCCCTTTTTCCCATTTTTTTTGGGTACGGGTGACATTTTATTCATTGTTTTTTGGGGCACATATTTTTTCCCCATTTAAACTCAACCAACCAAAAAAAGGGTGCCCTTTTGTTCCCATGGCCACTGGGCGTCTGAGGGTCCCTCCTTTCGCAGGTAGAGAAGCGGTTCAATTCATGTTCACTGGCCCGTTTGTTTCGGAAGCGGGGTCAGCTTCCCAGGGTTTGTGCTTTGAATCAGGGCTTGTGTTTCGGGAAGCTCAGGTAACGAAACCAGCCTGGGTGTGGGTTGTTCCTTGGCAAGTTGCAGTGCCAGGAAGGCTACCTCTTTTCAAACCGAGCTTCTTGGCACACGCTTGCACCGCAGACGTGGCAGCAAGGGCACGCTCCATGGGTTGTCTCTAGAACGCGATATCATCACTACGTAGTCGATTAGTCTGGCCGCCATTGGGCGACATATCTGTTTTCAGCCATTTTGGCTGCAGCAATTGGTGGATCGGAGCTCGTCGGCCAGTCTTTGAGGTGGCAAACATGCCTTCGACTTGATGGCTGAAAACACGAGAAAACGAGAGCAACCATAGGATGTTGTTTGTTCCACACACATGTGTAGCATCACCCCCATGATCCAAGGCAAGCCAAGCATACAGCACGCTACTTGAACTTTCTAGTGAAACAGGAAGTACTTTAAAATGATAGGTAACCAAACAAATGATATGCGAAGCGGGCCATCAACACTTGAGGGTTCTTGACGACCTGGCGTGTCCAATGCAGCTTGGTATGCTTTGGGCCGAGTTTTGCTTCAGGCCTTGCTGGCGGACACGCCCGGCTGTGCGAGCAAAGCTGACCTGCACGAGCTCTTTGACGTGCTGGATCCGCACCTCGGCACGAACTGCCAGGGGGGGGGGGGGGGGGGCGGGGGGACTGGCGGGTGGTGGAGTTGATGTCCGCATTCCCAACTCAGTGAAGTCCGGGCTGTAGGAAATCCACTTCCACAAGGCTTCCACCAGGGCTATTGGGCAACCCAATTGGCCTAAACTGCTCAGCTTTGCGAAGTGTTGTTGGTGCCTCGAATTCCTCCAGTTGGGGTCCCCTGTTTGGTGCTAGTCGAAGACAGGAGCTGACTCATTTGCCCCGGTACAACCAATCTTGCCATACAGTCTATGGTACACCTTAGAATCTCTTGCGTTGTACTCGTGACTGGCGTGAAGCAAACTATGCTTAAATGTTATGATTGCAGCCGGAAACAGAATCACATGGACAAGAACCGCACGATTTATGGGACACACACACACACACATGTGTGTGTGTGTGTGTGTGTGTGTGTGTGTGTGTGTGTGTGTGTGGGTGTGGGTGTGCGCGCGTGTGTTTTCGAATCTGTTGGTAGGTGCCGTCGTTCGGCCTGAGGCAGTGCACGGGCTACGTGAGCCAGCAGGCAGCAAGTCTCGGGCTTTTTTTTCTCCGGCTTCGAGGAAAGCTTCCAGGATCGGAAGGAATGAGCTTCATGCAAAGCTTCAGGAGCTCAGTTGGGTGTGTATGTTTTTCCTTTGGGCTTAAACGGAAACCAACAGGAACACCGAGATTCAGTTCCTTGCAAAAAGACGAGCCGCTTCATTTGCCCAGCTTTTTGCAGGAAAAAATGGATTTCCGCATCCCAGTTCAGCTTTTGCCTCTTTGACTGCGTCCCAACCGTCCCGCAGAAGCACAAGGTGTGCTGTGCAAAAGTGTTGACTCAACCATGGCTGGAATCAGAGCACTAGGAACGGATAGAGAACGCGCTTTCGTTTGCGAACACCAACTCCTAAGACTCCACCAGATTGAGTAATCCCCTCTCGACGTTATATGCTTCAGATACCCTTGGACAGTCGCGAGGGAGCTTGGCATCCCATAAATTAATGAGGAAAGCTGTTCGAGGCGTTAGCTATCAAAAAAGCAGCAGAAGCAGTTGCACCGTGCCTGGGTTCAGTGCTCTGGATCTGTGCCCGGAACTGCCGTTTTCATGCCTGCTGTCCGCGTCGCATGGATGAATCCACCTTCCGCATGGACATGCACCCTCTTGAACTCCGGTCTGGTATTCTGTTGGTCAACAACACCATCTGTCAAATGGCAAGTCCAATCAACTTAACAGCTGCTTGCAGGACATGTGGATGCACTAGAGCTCTCCAAAAAGCGGAACTGCAAGTCCTTTCAAAACTAGAAAAAAAGGAGCTGCAACCCATCATGAATGTCCATGCTCCATCTCTTCATGTTCTTGTTCCCTCACATCTTTAGGCCGCTCCTCTGGAGTCTGAGCGCCGCGAGCCGAGAGCCGCCAGGAGTTCTCGCGGCTCCTGCAGGCATACCAGGCCGGAAAGGGGCGGCTGGGTGTGGTGACTTCTGCCCTTGGGGTCGTGAGAAACTGCACCCCAGGTTTTTTTGGTTGTTTGGGGGGGGGGGGCGGGGCGGGGGTTGAGGTCCTTTGTTTTTCAGGTTGTGAAGGGAAAGGGACGTTGCAGCCCACGTCCTTTTTTATTGGTTAGGGGGGTGAAACCCCACATGTATAGACACGTTTCTGAGCAGGGTTGAGGCAGCTTCAGCTCTGCTGCGTTGCCTGTTTTGCGGGTGCTGCTCGCTGGGGGTTTGACGAACAGCGACTGGGATCGGCTGAACTTGATGCGCTGCATGGTTGTTTCCATCACAGCCAGGTGGGTGTGGCTCAAAATTAAACAGGAGGGGTTACGCAGGTTTTGGTCCATGTTTCCACTTACCAGGGTTCCATTTTGGTACCGGTTTTTTGAGCCACAGCCATGTCGTTGGAGCCATCAGAAGAAAAAGGCCGGCGCCATTCCCACGCAAACGGAATCAGGGACAACTATCAGGGGCCCAAGATGGGAGGCATTGGGTGGGGGGAGGGTGGGGGGACTAGATTTTTGCTTTGCAACAGGGCTGACGGACATTGTGAGTCCCCCAGTTTTCACATGATCGGCCGCTAGGCAAGCATTGCTTGAAAAAGCGAAGGGAGCAGGGTGCACACCGCAACAGCCGGGGGATGTTGGCAAAAGGGCCAAAACATCGAAAAAAAGACAAGGCCAGCGGCCCCTTGCAGCCAGTGCTCCGTCGGTGTTGGAGTTGAGCTGCTTGCCCGCATGGAACTTGATCTTCCTGTCCGGTCCCCAAGTTGAGCCTACTCTGAGCTTTTTTGTGATCCAAGCCACAAGCGTAGAGCAGTTTCTTTTGTTTTCTGGTCTCCCACCAACCAACTTTCGACCGGAGCACCCCTGAAGAGTGAGAGAGCTGCGTCTGGGCCATTTGCAAGGCGCCTCCGAGGGAGGATGGCCATGCCACCGCCTGCCGCTTGCTGGAGCGGTTGGGAAGCCCAAGAAGGCTGCCTGGGCTTGCGCCCAGCCACAGAAAAAGTGAGAGGAACTCAACGACACACATATTTCCTTCCAACGTTTACGACTTAAAAACTGGTTTGAATGTCCCTGGCCATGGATCAAAAGCCCGTACCCCCAGTGAACATCCCAATCCCCACTAAAAAATGACTAAACACGGGTGGTGCACCTACCCCAACATGGTATCATTGGTTTTGACCCACGGCCACCTGACTCCAATCTACTTCTGTAGGCCTCAGATGAGCCTTTTGATGGTTCCCCTTTGGTCTCTTCCTGCCACTGGTCCTCTACCGAGGCCAGAGCCGAGCGCCGGCGCCCAGCTGCGTGTTTTTTTTTTGAAGAGGAGCGACGTGAGCAGAAAGAAAACAAAACCCAGAGTGAAGGCCTACGGGACAGTCCCAACCAGACATTGGCGCGGCAAGAAGCCTTCTAATTTACATGGATTAATTGAACCCCAAGTAATTACTTAGCGGGGCGAGAAGCACTTCGAATTTACATGAAATTGGGGACATACCAGGTTTTAGCGGTGATTCCTGTAAGGGATTGTTCAGGAGGCCTTTTGTCGGACCCTTGACGCGGGGGAAAGCCAAGGGGGCCCAACATTGGTGTGCTGTTTTTTGCGCCCCAAAAGTGAACCCCAAGTAGAAATCGAAGCCGAGGGCTCCATAGCCCGCTGGACAGGTGGTCGGAAAGGGGAGAGATGTGACACCCAAAGGTTTTTCCTTTGAATACGGGTGGCTTCGAGGCACCTGGCCTCTTGACTGGTTTTCAATCTGAGTATGTTGACTCCAAATGAATGTAGGGACAGATTTGGCCGTGCCTCCGAGGCATATCGAATGATCATACTCAAAAAGTCTTGGGTCCCGTTGAACACGGGTCAAACATGAGGTTTGGCCAAAATCTCCAGTCTAGAGTCAGCCAGGGCTCACTTTTTCCCGCATCCTGTATGGGATGTTGGCTGGGGTTTGTCTTCCCTGCAATCCCAATCTCCCTTTTGGAGTGCCAACATGGGGGCTCTTATGTTGTTATTGGTTGGAACACCCTCAAAATGCAAAAAAAATGAAGGATGCAAATCTCCATGTAGATGATGTTCACCTTGCTCCACGTGCAGGCATGCAAAGAGTAAATTGTGATATGCTTTTGCGCACTTCTGCAAGTCCATCACCTGACATGCCTCCGAAAGAGTCCCGTTGGTGGATTTGGCTCAGCTTGCACCGTGCCTTGCCGATCGGACAGTGACAACCACGACCATCAGTTAGGTTCCGATTCGGGAGCTGTCCACCAGGGCTCCAAAGTGGACCAATGGCGATCAGCCGCTATGCGCTTCCAGCCGCGGTTTTGGCACCGGGCAGGTTGGGACTTCCACAAAGAATCGGTTGGCTGTGATTCGCTGGGCTCAGGCAGGGCATGGCCTTCCATGTGGAGCCCCTGGACAAAGAGAGGGGGGGGAGAGAGATCCGCGCGAGCTTCTTCAATGAGGTTCTTCAATGAGGCCGCGGAGAGGTGGGGAAATGCTTTACGCTGAGCAAGGGGCTGTCCAGATTGCAAACAAGCAGTACAACACCTGCACCCACCCCTGCGAGCTGGTGTTTGACAGGATGTGCCAGGTTGATCCGGTGGAGGATGGCAGCCGCATCGAAACGCTAAAGTTTTCGATTCAGAGCATTCGCTCAGCGCAGGGAAGGACACTGCCGTGCAGTGTCGACTTTTGTGTTTCATCATCACGGCAGCGGAGCCGCCTTTTGGGTTTGAGCCTAAGGATGGAAGATCCCTGGTGAAACGGCAGCTCACGGTTGGCTGATGACAGTGCCTTCAGCATGTCCGTCACCATTTTGGGGGGGATCGCGCCAGAAGGAAGACCTTGTCTTTCAGGGCAACCCAGTGGTGTGAGGTGAGTCCTTGTCCAGGAGTGGCAAGGGAGCCGCAGCAGTTCTCTGATGGAGGCTGGATCTATGATGCTGAGTCCCGCATGCTAGACGCACAGCAAGCCTTGGAGTGGAAGCTGGGTGGCAATGAGCAGAACATCACCTTCATCTCCCAGAGCAGTGGCATGTTTGGTGGACTTGAGTGGCAGGCAAGAACGCAGACACCCTTGAGACGAAGACGCTTTCCTAGAGCAAGAAATGTAATTACTCTCTTTGCTGCCAGCTTGCCTCAGTGCAACTTCGCAAGAGGGACTCAGGTGGCTTCAGTCAAGGAGCACTCCCGGCAAAGTCCTGTTGGCTGATCTCAATTCAGAGGGTCTTTCCAGCATGGCCATGGGGCACAACCTATGGCTCCATTTTGGGGTGGATGAACTATCGTGTTCGTTCGCAGTCACATATACAGTACATTTAATAATACCGTGTCTGTGATATGGTTTGTTCTAGAAAACATACATTTACTTTTGTCCGCTCACGCCATGTTGAGCATGGCTGCTTCAAAACGTGAGGCTTCCTCGTGCCGGCTGAGCTCGGTGGACATCGCTGGGCTTGCCATTCGCGGCTCATTCTCCCATGGAGCACAAGACGCTGCATCAACCACATTTCCACGACATGGCACTAGCGAATGGGAACAAACATGGGTGCTCAAGCGAAGTCCCTCTGAACAGCTATTCAGAATCACGGGGTTTATCCGGGGGTCGCTGGATTTCCCCAAATCAGAAGTTGATCACTTCGCTGGTGGTTTCCCTTGACACTTCCACTTGAGGTTCCAACAAGGGAACCAGCTTGGAAACCCTGTCAAACTAGGGGAATCCAGAAACCGGCTCGGAGGCGCTCTTTCTGGATTTCACCGTTTAGAAGCCCCTCTCGGTCCTTCGGTCTGTTTTTAAAGCACCCTTTTGATACCCAGGGGCGGCTCCACCAAAAACGCCACCTCCAAAGAATTCCAGTACTCTTTCCACCGGCTCCTTCGGATTCCTTCGGCTCGCAAGAAACCCTCGCTCCATCCCTGAGATGCGCCAGACGCGGAGTTTTTCCGAGGCGTGAGCCCCGTGGCCGGGCTCAGGGCCTGGATGCTGCAGCAGGCCTGGATCTTCCAGGACCTCGAGGCCCGGTTTGGAGTTTCGTTCGGGCGAGGGGGCATCGCAGAAACCGAAAAGCACGACAGACACGCGTTTGGGGCCCCAAGCCGCAACAAAAACACACATACATATATATATATATATATATATATATATGTATATATTCATATACATATATATATATATATATATACATACATACACATATATTTTTGGGGGTGTGTCCTTCAAGGCTGGACCCCCACAGAGTTGAATGGGTGTAAACAATACGTACCCTTTAAAAAGACAACCCATATCAGTGTGTTTCGAAATTAAGTGATGAAATAACCTCCTGGCTTATACAGCCACAACCACAACCACCATTTACCACCCGAGGCACGTGTCGGAATGTTCCTGAAAACCTGTCCAGGCTTTTGACAGGTTGTTGGTCCGGGGTGAGGGAAATCGATTCACTGGAAGATGGGAAGCGAGGTGCAAGGAGCCGAAAGCTTGACAAAGGGAGGCCAATATCAGTGGAAGATTATCAACTTCACATGGAACTGAGGCCCAACAGACTTTCTACTTAGGATTCGGTGTGGTTGAGGGTTATTAACATGATCATTCCACCTCAGGGTCACTGTGCATTTCATGCTTCATCGTTCACAGGTGTGTTGAGATTGGTTTGCAGCAACCGTCCGCATGCTTTTTTAGCTGCCATCCCAGCGACATGCCCGTGGATGAAGCCATCTAGGGTCTTTGCTGATGTCTCAGGCGAGCCACCTGAGTTGCTACAATTTTAGCAACCCACCCACCGGGGGGGGGGCAACCTTACTCCTGAAGTTTTCTTGAACTAGGCGGGAAGCCCTTGCTGGTTGGTGAATTTGCATTCACCCGATGAAGGGGGCAGATCTGGCAACAACTCCGCTGGCACTTGTGGGTTAAGTGAAGGCCATTCGCACCTCAACAAATGCTGTGCATGAGTACCGAAGAAGGCTAGTGACAATAGATTCTCTTAGAAAGGGCCATGGCGCCCAGTTGCGCCTTTGATTTTCTGAAATTGGAAGTCCATGGACGGGGGTCAAGCGGCACGCATTGGACCCGTTTTTGAGGATGCGAGGCTTGGCACAACTTTTGAGCGCGAATTTGTGGGGGCATCAAGGGTGCCGACGCCGAAGCCGGCTCAGACTGACGAGTGCCGGCAGGGCCAAGCTACGCATTGTGCATGGGTCTGTTGATTTTTCGGAGTGCTCAAAGGGGCAACCAAAGGGACCCCACCAATTTTAGTGCTCCCTCGATTAGACCGCGCCAATGAAAACGATTATCCCGCTACAGTGTCTTGAAAGTAATTCACATATTTGACATTCACCAATAGCTTTTCCTGGGACCCCGGCGCCATGGCCTGACCTCCGAGCAGCTTGCCATGTGCGAACTTCCAGGACGGACAACTTGAAGAGAGCTCTCCTGGGAGAAGTGAGTCGAGTGAGAACCTGAAAAAAGCGCCCACGTTTTTTTCTTCTTCCCACCTGCAAATGTCTCGATGCAGAGATCGGGCCCAAGATTTCCAGTCACGTCGGAATGCGCCATGGCGTTTGCCGGTGTTGGTGGCATGGCTTGTGCATTTGCAAGTTCTGGACAAGTATCATTTTGATGCCAGGAGCCTTGCTTTGTCCCGACTGTTTCACCTGCAGTGGTTCACTCGGGCCATCCATTACGAACTCCCAGAAGCTCAGACAAACCAGGTGACAGCTAATAATGGATGAAGGAATCAGATCAGATAGGAAAGCACGCAATATTGAATAGATTCTACCTTCATTCATATGTCTTTCCAAGAATCCCAGCATTTATTATTTTCTTCTCTTTCATTTACTACCTTGTTATCTTCTTTCTTCATAGTTGCATTTCTTATCTTCTGACTTTCTTTTGGTTTTACTAATATCACTTTCTCTTTCTATAGGTTCATAAACTTTACAAACTAAACATGAAAAAGAGAAAGTGACAGAAACAGAACACAAACACATTTTAAGAAGAGACATGCACACACAATAAGATAGGACATGTAATCAGAAAGTTGGATCTCTATCACCTACCTCTCTCTCTAGCATGTGATTGCTAATAACATATTGTCTCTCTATATAATAATCTTTCCTTTCATAATCCATACCTGGGGGCGGGGGGTGGGAGCCATTTGTGACTGTATCCGTTGGGCGATCATGCGGAGTCTGTCAAATTTGTCGAGGAAGGGGCTAGGCTGACTTACGCCGATTCACCTTGAGTATTGTGAGACTATCGAAGTCAACGCATAAGAGGAGACATGTTCAGAAAGATCACGTCCGGTCATGGGGCTGGCCCTCACCAAACATGATATCTGGTGATGCCGGTGATGTTGGCGATGCGCACTGGGGGGCACTGTCTTGGCACTGTCTTGGCTTTCAATAAAATAGGAAGGAGGCCAGAAGCGAAAGGAAACCAACAATGAACCCGACACCAACCATAAATTGCACGCGACAAAGTATTTGTCCCACGGAGACCCTGGCAGCGCCAGGGAGTGTCGCCTGGACTGTGACTAGGCAGCTGGCCAGGACTGGGGCTTGGGTTGGGGCTGCTTTGGGACCAAGCTGGCAGACAGCAAGCTTGGACTTTTCGTTGGCCACTTCGAAAGGAGTTTGGGTGAATGATAATTTTTGCGTCATTGGCGAACCCAAGGAAGAAGCCCCAAGATCCTTTAGTGTGGTGCTTGGATTCCTTTGGTTTTGTCGGCTTGATGGTTCGGGTTATCAAAGTCGTCATCTTCCTTAAGCCTATTCCTTCTGGGCTGAGCGTCTGGTAATGGCATAGCTTGGTGTAAACCCAGGTGAGTCAGAGTCAACACCTGTTTAGATGAAGGTTAGCAAGGGACAGCCCCAATCATGTAAATAGGTGCAGATATCCGCCCTCTTGATTCTTCACATATTCTTGATAGACCACTTTATCACTAGGTTTTGATTATGACACGGGTGGAGGCAAGGGGTGGGGCGACATGTTCTCTTCGTCGTTTCACAACTGGTGGGGATATTCAACAAGGCTAGGATACTTAGCATGTGGTTGGTTCCTATGATTATTTGCCGCAGAAACGGTTATAGACCCCCGGGGTTCCATCACTTACCTGACATACTCCAGGGGTCCCTATATTTCCCTTTTTGGGGTCCCAGTCAACCTTGGCACTGATGATCGACCACTCTTCACATTGCCAGAACACAATGAAGCGGTGAAACTCATTAAGCCGACAACGCATGAGCGAATGATTAGCTTTGAGAAAAGTTTGCGGGCCTTGGAAAACAAATTGGGGGCCGAATTGTTCCCTTGCAACACTTGCAGCAGACCTCAAAGCCTCCGGGCCCTCGGTTTCTTCCAGGCACGACCCGGTCTTCAGAAAAGGCCGTGGTTCCCTTTCCACGAAGACACAACGCAAGCACTTCGCAATAAGGCAGGTTGCCCTGTCATCATTGGGGACCTGCCCACTTTGGTTGCAGACATTCGCATGATTTCCATCCCTTGGCAAGAAGGGATACCGTCGAGTCACAGTGGACGAGACGGAGGTTTCACAAAGAGTGCCTTTGGGCGCCGCGCTAAGGAGAACGGACTCGGGCTGCACTGGGGTGGCTTCAACCAACGCCCCCGCTTCGACAGGTGGTGGGCTACATCGAGCAGGGGGAGCCCCGCCCCTGGACCAGCCGGACCGCAAGGCTACCTTGTTCGTCACGAGCCGCTTCTACCTGGACGACTTTGTGCAGTCCAGCGAGGGCCCCAACCCGCAGCCTCTGCAGCACACGCCAGCTCACGCGCGAGCAGCAGCGCGCCTTGCGCGTGCTGGAAAGGCAGGCCGCGCACGATCGCCTAAGCGTGCTGGTATGAAAAGCAAGATGATGTCCGTCGAGCCTCGCAACGAGCCGCAGTGGTTTTAAACATCACCTTTTTGGCCCATGAAAGGTGAGTAGCCCTTGGTGGGGGTGATGTTTTAAGGGGAAATATAGGGAGCCCTGTACTCCGTACGCAGAAAGTAGCTTCTTCTTTCCTCATCCCGCCAGGCCGCCTGGCTTTGGACATGCCCAAAACGCGCCCTGGCGCCGGGAAGTGGGTCCAAGCCCCCAAGCTTTGGGCGTCAGCTTAGGTCGAAAGCCAGCGGTTTTTCTGCCCTGGTCATTTCTTTTCCGACGCGTTTGTTGGTGGGATCCGGATCCGAAAGTTTGAAGCCTTCTGAATCCAAAGGGGCTCCTTTTTACACATGAGTTTGTGTGTGTGTGCTTTTTTGGATGGGGAAGAGGGAGTCCTAGTTTTGAGGAATCTCCAAATGATTGTTTCCGTTGTCTTACGCGCAGACAGCATCATTTTGACACTTTCGTATTTTACACATGAGTTTGTGTGTGTGTGCTTTTTTGGATGGGGAAGAGGGAGTCCTAGTTTTGAGGAATCTCCAAATGATTGTTTCCGTTGTCTTACGCGCAGACAGCATCATTTTGACACTTTCGTATTTTAACCCACGCGCACACACGCACACACACACACACATCCACCTACGCTGACACTTACACACACACACACAGCCGATGGTTCGGTGGCATCGGTGGCTCGCTGCTGAGGTTGGCATCCGAGCGCAAAATCGCCTGCCGCGGCGCGCGGTGACCATTGACCAGATGCGAAAGGAGATCCGAAGGAGTTTGGGTTGGGACCTTCAGGTTGTTTCTCGGGAAACCAAAGGCCAACAACCAGACTTGGGGTGCTGCCGTAAGCATCACCTCAAATTTCGAGGCTGGGCCAATGGGGAATGTGCAGCGATGTGGGAGGAGTATATTTTACACTTGTTCAAGGACCAAATTTGTGATGCTTGCGGGACCCTTTTTTCTCAGACCAGTTGAGCTGTTGTTTTCGGGGTGCCCCTGTGGTCGTTTTTGTTCAGCCCACGAATGAGCAAAGATTTATGAATCCTGGGTTCCCATTCACTTCAATATAACTTGCTGAATCGGCGGTGGCCAGAGCTTTTGGATTTACGGATAGGAGTTGACACGTCGTGC